CAGCTGCTGGCCAGAATGATCCACATCTATCAGTCGGATCCTAATAAGAATGCTGGTCTCATGCCAAACACGTACGTTGGAACAAGTGTTTGCTGGAATTTGGGACGCGCTCCCAGTAGTCTGTTTTATTCTAACTTATCTACTTTTGTGCACACAGGTACATTTTTAATACTGTCATCAATTGCTGGGCGAAAAGCAAAGACAAGAATGCAGCGACCAAGGCTGAGGAAATGCTTGTTGCCATGAGCCAGTTGCATGCGTCGGGAATGCCGAGTTTAAAGCCGGATGCTTTCACCTACACGGCTGTTATCGATGCGTATGCAAAGAGCGGACTACGTGGCGCTGCCTCAAGGGCCAGTCAGTTGCTGGATCGTATGGAAGCCAAATATCAAGCTGGCGATGTGGATTTGAAGCCTAACACGTAAGTCTGTTCGTCGTTCCTAGCTTTGCTATCAAACATCAATTAACTCCGTCATCGTCTCGCATGCAGATTTACATACAATGCAGTTATCAACGCATTGGCCAAGTCTGGCGAAGCAGGAGCAGCGTCGATGGCTGAGCGGGTTCTCCAATTGATGGTGAATCGGCATCGCAACGGCGGTGGTGGCGAAGTCAAGCCTAGCACGATCAATTTTAATACTGTCCTAGATGTACGTTTCTCTAAAGGAATGCTGTTAATTGGTTCTTGACGCCATTAACACTCGTTTGTCTCAATACTATACAGGCTTGGGCCAAGAGTGGGGGTGGCCGTGCTGCAGCCGAGCGAGCCGAAGAAATATTGGAATGGATGGACCGCCTTCATAAAGAAGGGCACCCAGAAGTCAAACCCGATACTATAACGGTGAGTCGTATGACGAGTTTTTTTGCGTATCTACCTTGCGGTGCTGCTTTCTCACGCTCTTGTTTGCTTTTCCTTCAGTTTAATGCTGTGCTCGATGCGTGGGCACGTTCAGGAGATCGTATGGCTTCCCGACGTGCTGAGCAGATTCTGGACCATATGGACGAACTTTACCGAGCCGGCAACACGGGAGTAAAACCCGACACGGTAAGTTCGTTTGCGTACTTTTCAGCCCTACAAACCGATATTTAATTAATCCATTGTTGTCTCGTGTGCAGTATACGTACAATACGCTGATCAACGCATTGGCGAAATCTGGCACAAACGGAGCTGCAACTCGCGCTGAGCAAGTGTTGCACATTATGGACCAGAGGTATCGCGACGGCGATCCCGACATCAAGCCCAATACGAGGACGCATACTTCGGTAATTGACGCGTATGCCAAGTCAGGTGAAAGTCGAGCGGCACGAAGGGCGATGGAGATATTCACTGGCATGTTATCTCGTTACGATGCGACGAGGGACCCAGATATCAAACCAAACGTACACACGGCGAATGCTGTCTGCAATGTAAGTTGTCTGTGAGTTGCTTACTTGAATTCTGTGTTCGTTTTTCTATAATCTCATGGTGTTTTTCGGCAGGCATGCGCCTTCTCGAAAAAAGAAGAGGACCGAACTGAAGCGTTGCAGATATCCTTTCGCGTCTTTGACTGGCTGTCTCACCAGCCGGACATGGAACCGGATTCCTACACGTACACAATCCTCCTGTCTGTTTGCGCCAACTTAATACCAAGAGAAGACAGCATGACTCGTTTTGCTCACGCTAGGGCCTTTTTTGATAGCTGCCGGGACACCGGATACGTTAACGATTACGTTTTACGAAAACTTCGGCAGACGGTAACTGACGATGAGTATTTGGGCCTTGTCGAGTACAGGACGGAACCATCGGCATCAAGTATGCCTCAATCCTGGACCCGCAATGTCAAGATTGACAACCGTTCTAAGGCTCGTCGTGGAAGCAACAACCCAAATAACGCTGCCCAAGGATCGGATAGTTGGTCAACAAGAAGACGAGGCAAGTAGTCGAGCAGAGATAGAGTCCACAAAAATTTATACACACACACGATGGCATGATGTACGATCATGCCAACCTTCACAACTTACAAGAACTTACAAACTCATGAGCAAGAACACTCAAAATTCATATGCTACGACAGCATAATAATCAAGGCAAAGAAGAATGACGACAATTCGACTTTTTATAAACATATCTGTAGTATACTTGTCATATCAACTGTGTACTCTCATACGAATTGAATTTCAAGATATTAGCCGATAGCAGCTATCGCGAGAAGACTAGATCGCGCTGTTGACGTATCAGCATACCAGTACATGCACAACTTTTCAAGCAAGTTAAATAAAAGATCTTCACTAATTCGTGCTATTAAACCTCTACATCACCTTGGTGACAATGCCCGTGCCAACAGTCATGCCTCCTTCTCGCATATTGAAGCGCAGTCCAGCCTCTAACGCAACTGGCGTAATGAGCTCACAGTCGACAGTCGTATTGTCGCCAGGCATGACCATCTCCACATCGTCTTTCAACGCCAATGAGCCTGTAATGTCTGCTGTTCGGAAGAAAAACTGTGGTCTGTAGTTCGAAACGAATGGCGTGTGACGACCGCCTTCCTCCTTTTTCAGGCAATATATCTCGGCCTCAAACTTTGACGCTTGCTTGACTGATCCAGGCTTACAAAGGACTTGTCCACGACGGATATCGTCTCGCTTCAAACCGCGCAGCAAGGCACCAATATTGTCACCAGCCTGACCCTGATCCAGCAACTTTTTGAACATCTCAACACCAGTGCAAGTCGTTTTGGCGTCTTGTCCTAATCCCAAAACCTCCAAGTCATCACCGACCTTGACTAAACCTTGCTCAATACGTCCAGTAACGACAGTTCCTCGTCCTGCAATACTAAACGTATCTTCAATTGGCATCAAGAATGGCTTGTCCAACACACGCTGAGGTTCGGGAATATGATCGTCGACAGCCTGCATGAGCTCCAAAATGCGTTCCGATCCAATCTCCGGATTTCTACCTTCCGCCGCCGCCAAGGCCGACCCGCGAATGATTGGAATGGCATCGCCATCAAAGTTGTAAAAGTCCAGCAGCTCGCGCACCTCCATTTCTACAAGCTCCAATAGTTCCTCATCCTCCACTAGATCAACCTTGTTGAGAAAGACGACCAAGTTTGGAATTCCAACCTGCTTGGCCAAGAGAATGTGTTCACGGGTCTGCGGCATGGGTCCGTCCGTGGCAGCAACGACGAGAATACCTCCGTCCATTTGAGCAGCGCCAGTAATCATATTCTTGACGTAATCCGCGTGACCGGGGCTGAATTCAGTGTGATAGTGTACGTGTGAGTAGATCGGTAAAAAAGCCGCAAATTATGAGCAGCGTCAAGTCCGCGTGAATAGCGAAACAAGCCATAATAATCATCAAAAAGCATAAAATACTCACCAATCAATATGTCCATAATGTCGATTCTCCGTTTCATATTCAATGTGCGACGTATTGATGGTAATCTTGCGCGCCTTTTCCTCTGGACTCTTGTCAATCTCCTCGTAGCTCATGGATCGGCAGCTGCCATTCTCCGAAAGGACGCGGGTAATGGCTTGCGTCAAGGTCGTCTTGCCGTGATCAACATGCCCGATGGTACCGATGTTTACGTGCTTCTTGTCGCGCACGAATGTATCTGTCGCGAGTGATCGAATGGCATTGCTCAAACGAAGGTGCTGCTGCAGTTGTAACGGCGACGCTTTCGCCAGGCGTTGCGCCGATCGCAACAGAAGAGTAGTCGACATGTTTTCCGTTATCACGAGAGCTGTCTAGAGTAACTGGAATGTGTTTGACTATTATTGTTTAGAACCTTTGCAGAACTTGGGAAGAATGGCCGTAGTTCTGTTGGTGTGACTTGTTTTCGTGGTCGAGAGCATTAAAATGATGACGTCATCAGAGAACCGATGTGACGCAATTTTGACTTGAGGATGAGGATACTTCTTACCGCCTTACTAAACTGCCGTGACCGCAAGCGCGTTGCAACTCGCACAATCGTTCCATCAAAGAATCGACAGTCAATTTGACCATGGTAAGCATCGATTGAGATATTATACAAACGCATCCGAGGCATACGCAATAGTATATTACCCAATTACTTACTTTCATTTTACGTTTCTAGGCACCCAAAAAAGGATCAAAGTCCAAGAAGGACGAAGGCAAGCCTTCCAGTAAAAAGGCAGCCGACCCTCTCTTTCCCTCCCGGCCTCGCACCTTTCAGATTGGCGGAGACATTCGCCCGGCTGGTCGCGATCTATCTCGCTTCGTCAAGTGGCCCCGCTATGTTCGCATTCAGCGTCAGCGCTCCGTCTTGTACCAGCGCCTCAAGGTGCCGCCTGCCATTCACCAGTTCACCAAGCCCATTGGAAAGAATGAAGCCATGACTGTCTTTACGCTACTGAATAAGTACAGACCAGACACCAAGGCGGCCAAGAAGCAAAAGATTAAGGAAGCGGCGGCTGCTGGTGGAGCTGCTGTTGCCAAGACTGCCTTTCAAGTCAAGTTCGGACTCAAGCACATTACCACCTTGGTGGAGGAGAAGAAGGCGCAGCTTGTACTCATTGCCAATGATGTTGACCCGATTGAACTTGTACTTTGGTTGCCAGCACTCTGCCGCAAAATGCAGGTTCCATTCATGATTGTCAAGGACAAGGCTCGCTTGGGAGCATTGGTGCACCAAAAGAAGGCTGCTTGCGTTTGCTTGACGGGTGTGGAAAAGGCTGACGAGGCCCAGCTCAACTTGCTCAGGAACCTTGCGCTCGAGTCGTTCAACAACAACGCCGAGCTTGTCCGCAAGTGGGGTGGAGGCAAAATGGGTCTCAAGACGCAGGCCAAGTTGGACAAGCGTGCCAAGGCTGTCGCCGTGGAGGAAGCCAAGAAGGTTGCCTCCTTGAACCGGGCCTAAGCTCATGTCGTTGTAGCGTAACATATCGAGGTTGACGACGTCGACTCGAATAACTAATTGAAAATGAAACCAAGTTGCAACTGTTGACGCACTCACGTGCCGAGGTTCTACTTTTTGTGTGTCTACTTTTTCTCGTTAAATGTGGCCATGACTCTGGCTGGTGCTGGAGCAGGACTTCAGTTCCTGTCGAGGACTAACGTCCTAGTTGTTCGATTCAACCTTGGCCACGTTACATTACAAACGTAGCATTGCGGCTTTTAATTGTAGTTTGTAGCTCTTCCAAAGTTGCTGACCTTGACTTAAGTCTCGTCACATCTACATCCTGGTATACATAGTACAGTGCCAGGACTGTGAGTCCTTCCTATGACAATCCGTCCGCCTTGGTTTGTCTGTGCGTTGCATCCTTTGCAGTGAGTATGTGCTAACAGTAAGTAAACTTATGTTTGCGTCGACGCACCATTTGCCCGTGCGTGAGACTTAATGAAATTGCAACACAACAAGTCGCATCAAAGCTTCTATAATATAGTAAGCGATTTATACAGACATTTCAAAAAATATACAGCTACGTTATAAAAAATTTTCAGTTGCTCTGGTGTATAAGCGTTGTGCGTTGTTGCTTTGGCGGGTATGGGTGACGCGGCGATTGCGACAAACGACAGTCGACTTCCGCTACAGCAAATCAAAGTCATCGAGCTTGTCATTGTATTTTTGAACCGTCCTTCGAATCTTGGACGAATCAACCCACGTGACATAATCTTCCAGTGCTTTCGACACCAAGAAACTGGGATCTGTCACAACGTGAGGACCAACTCGCACCTGTCCCTGCTCTATGAACGTGACGGCCGTCCGCAGCGTTTCCGCCATTTTCAGTCGCACCATAATGACGGGAAGTCGGCGCCGACAAATGGCGGATGCGGAAACGTCCTCGGCCTTTTTCAACGACGAGTCTGTCGTAATGACGCCCATGTTGGAAAGTTTGGTGAGCAATTGTTCCGTCATGGCGATGCGGAAGGAATCGTCCGCCGGAAGAGTCTTGATTTTAGCTGCCAACTGTGTAATCATTCCACATATTCGCTGGTAGCTAGTGTAGTCTTCCCGCTTTTGAATGTGGTAGCGTCGCATGATTTTAGCGATGCGAAGATTGTCTTCATTCTTCCAGGAATAAAGATCGACCTTGCGGAGGAGTTTCTTCTCGTGATGCTTCAATTGACGCATAATGTAGAGTCAATTGGCTTTATATTATGATAATCAATGTTGCGATGCTGTAGTAAAAGATAAATCGAAGGCAAGGAGCTGTCGATTGTCAAGAACAAGTTGCTTGCGGCTGCCCCCATGCAAGGTCTGATGGTGCACAACGCATGAACGCGCGAGTCCCGTCTGCGCGCGAGTCGTTACCGCTTACCGGCGCTACTAGACCGCGTCACCAGTTGTCTTGCTCGATTTTGATTGGTTGGAATGCGGTCATTCCGATTAAGCCTGACATTCACGCAAGTTACACACGTTGATTGGGTGCAGGCCTTCTGACGAGAAACTTCCGCGTCTCCAGCACATTTTGACAGCGCTCTCAAGCTTACTTTTCGCATTTCCTTCAACGAGGTAGGTTCTGATCCTTGTATGTATCATCGACTTGCGCAGAGACTGAAAAGCAAAGAAAGGTGGACTAAGGAATGTACTAGAAGACAACAAAGAAAACGCAGCTCCTGGGCAATATCTTAATCGGCAATACCAATGATACAAATTTCCTGCAAAAGCACGAGAAACACGCTGCACGTTTGGCTCTTGCGGAGCTGCGGACGACTTCAGACCTTTTTTCGCCGAGTATATCTTGAGCTCTCTCAAAATTGTACATTGAAAGGGAAATGGCGCTCTATTTGCGGCAGTCTTGCACTGTTGTAGATTCAAAAATGGACCGATTTGGAATCCTTTCTTCGAATCTTGTCTTTGGTGGCATTGTCCGATACTGCCTTGCATTGTTTGTCTGTATACAAGCGTTGTATTTCGTATGAAGAGTAACGCTTGATGCTTGTTTCCATTTGACGGATGAACAAGTCTTCCAATACATCCGTTCCAATTTTCGGTTCTCACCTCTTTGCATTCGTTCCTGTTTACATGCAGACTCTTTTCCTTTCCTCCCCAATACAATGACGACTATTGACAACCGCATTAGCCAGGATTCGCTTGTCGGCGGCGGACACAAGCACTCGCTTCGTTCGGGAACTCGTGGCGCGGAGGAGCGTCTGGAGGAGGAGGCCTTGATTCAGGAGGAGGAAAAGATGATGGATGACGATATCTTTTCGGAGGATTCGTCGCACGGCGAGGACGACTCTCCTACGCTTGGTCGAAACGGTACCGCCAAGTCGACGGGAGATGGTGATGATGACGAATCTAGTCATCATTATGGTCTCCGCAAGCGGCGGCGTCAATCTGGATCGGACTTGGAGCGACTAGAAATGTTTCAGTGCTCCAAGGCTGGCGGACTTGCCAAGTCCAGCAAGGCAAAGCCTGCTTCATCTGCCAAGTCGCTACTATCACCGGCCTCCAAGGCCATGCCGCCGCCTGGTACGCGGGGAAGAAAGTCCAAGAGTGGTCAAAAGGCGCTTGATTTTGGTGGTTTGAACCACAAGGACATTTCTCTCGTTCCGAATCCGCTGTCAATGATTGGCGATTCGCTCTTTGATGATGGGGCGGCGGCTGCTCCGCCGAATGATAAACGCAAAGTAAGCATTAGCACGCAGCCTGTAGTTGGGCGAAAGCGAGGCTATTCTATTGATTGTAAGTGCCTGCGAAAGGTGCTGCTTGGGATGAATAGCTTCACGCAAGGAAGTCATTCACTCACTCTGTTTTACTCTTGTTTTTAATTAGCTTTGGGCGGTCTTTCTGCTGCCTTTTCCGACGACAATTCTTCCCAAGCTGCTGCACCGGCTGATGCGGCTGGTCGCGAACGCGCCTTTAGCTTCGAGTGTTTTGCTTTTGGTCTCAACCCTGACGAACCCTTGCCGCCGCTGGAAGCTACATCAGCTCATCTGGCCATGGCGGATGCTCAAAACCATCGGCCGCGAGGTGACTCGATTATCTTCGACCCCGTCAGTTTTCAGGACGGTGGCATTCACGAGCAGACGGCTCTTTATAGCATTGATGACATTCCTGTTCTTCCTGGTGCCCCTCGACCGGTCACCACCAAGGCTGCTTCTTCATCCATCAAAACATCTTCTCATGCACCTTCAACGAAACGTCCATCTACGTCTCACACGTCGCCAGGCTCAAGTGCATCAACTGCTCAAACATCATCGCGGACGCCTGCTCCTCCTTCTAACACTGTTTCCTTTTCGATGGAACTATTGAATCGCGACGGCCGCATTGGAATCTACCTGCCTGAAGCTCGGCGAGCACGTATTGCCCGCTTTCTCGCCAAGCGTCAGCGCCGCGTCTGGCGCAAGCGCATCAAGTATGATTGCCGCAAGAAGCTTGCGGATTCGCGTCCCCGCATCAAGGGTCGCTTTGTCAAGCGAGCTGAGAATGAAGGGGAATAGAATTTACTGCTGGACACCATGACTTCACACTGTTGAATTATAATTAATAGCACACGAACACCTATAGATCACCTTTTTTGTTATCAGCTTGACTGCATACGTACTTTGTTGTAGGGGGTGACTGGCGCTTTAAGACGATTAAGCCATTATTCTCACACCTCGTGTAATTAAACCTATGCTATACCTGTAGTATTTCATGCGATACAATATATCTGTTTTGTAGCAGTACTCCTTCCATAACTTATGCGCGTTTTCCGTCTAATAGTTGCGCCTATCAATATGGAGAAACATTGTAAAAACAGTCGGTTGGAATCCTACAAGCGACGGTACGTCCAGCTATGTAATTCAAGACATTGGAGAGGGTGAATGGCTTGCGTCATTTGCCTCACCTCGATGGTCCACTGGCTCGGGATGACTTGCTTTGTTTCTAAATTAATTACATGCCGTCTGGCCGCCACGACAAGCAGGCATTACGCGAGAATCGTTTGTAAGTTGCGAGTAGATTTTCGGTTGCTACACGGAATGACTTGTTGACAACAGTCTACAGTTTATGAGCTGACGAATAAGAGAAAAAAGTGCCACCTTAAATATTTTAGTGCATAGAATCAAAAGGTCTTTATGAGATGCGATGTCTCATTTTGATTCGTGTACTGATGCTGCAGCACCTCCCTTGACAATCGTATTACCGAATGAGTCCAGCTCAGGCTCCGACTCGTACTCATCAGACTCCAAGTCATCATCGCTGGGCGGCAAATCATCGGGTCTGTCATGATCTTGTTCGACCTGAGCCTCAGCATTGGAAAGCCAATCATTCTGCTTGTCAACAACGTCAGCGCTGTCGGAACACGATGCGTACAAATCCAGAACCTCCTCGTTCAACTTTACAAACTCCTCGCCCCACGAAAACTCGCTCAACACTGCTTTGGCAGCGTCCTTTTTGTTACAAATATAGAGAGTAGCCGCACAAGCTTCAGCGCAACTGAGCTTACTCGGTCGCCCATAATTTACAGTATTGGCTGCCACCATGAATGGCAAAAGTCGATGATGACCTGCTTGCATCTGCTTGAATGGAATCTCCGCCAGTCTCGCCCAGGAACAGTCGATCAGCGACATGCCCGACTCTTCCAGTATTTTCGCATCCGCTGGACTCACAGAAACTGTCGCCTGAGGACTCAGCACGATTCCGCGAAAGCTTTGCTTCAGATTCATTCGCTGAAAGATCCCACGTTTCACCAGTCGAGCTCCAGTACATCGCTTTGGATCACACTGAGCAAAGTCCCACATGCGAAGTGAAAGTCCCTTCAAAGGATCCATGACGACTGCTTGGCAGTAATCCTGCGAGTCGTCTTCGTTTCGTTTTAAAACATCCTCGTCGCGACTACCATGCTGATTGTCTTCCTCCCTTGCTCTATGAGCGGGCCGATTGTGTTGCTGCGTCTTTGGTTTATATGCTTTGGCTTTCCCCATGTCGTCGTTGCCTGCCTGTGGAAGCGTTTTTCGTTGCAACAATCGAAATCGACGAATGGATGGCGCCCATCGAAACGGCTGTCCGGAAGTGGATCATGATGAAAACGAAGCAGCTGCACACGTTTTCAAACGTGAGACGCTCATCGCGGTCACACTTTCAACCTTGACGACTATGATTAATATTAAGAACGAGACAAGGTAGCAAGTGAGCGTAAATCGCTCATGCTTTAGA